GTTATTTTTCAATCGATTATTTTGTGAGTAAAAATACGACGGGCCGGTGTACAAAATTAATATAATTAATTTGGAAGAAATAAATAAATATTATTTATTTATTTATGGGGTTTGGTTAATATTTTGGCTATTTTGCCTGTCTCGAGACAAACCAAATTGTGCAACCTCAAATTAAACCCGGGTATATGGCCTAAGTCGCAATATTATTTGGATAAAATATTATCCGTTGGACAAATTTATTATAATTTCAAACGGAAGGTTTGAAATTATAATAAATTACAATCATTTCAAATGGAAGGGTTGAAATTAGAGTAAATTACGATCGTCACAAATGGAAGGTTTGTAATTAGAATAAATTACGACTGCTTCAAACGGAAGATTTAAATTATAATTAATTACATCGATAATTAAGGTCGTAATTATGATCGTAATTAATCCCCTGCCATTTTGGCGGAGTGGAGACGTCTATATAAAGGGCCTCCCCCTTCATTCTAATAACCAACAACTAATAATCCTCACGTCCTACTCTCCTCTCTTCTAGCTTTCCGGCAGCCTCCCTAGCTCAGTTCGTCTCTCGTTTTTGTTCGTCGGAGCTCCAACGATTAGAGGTGTCACTCTAATTGGAGACGGAAACCGTTTTATCTTTGGATTAGAACGCCATTCACCGGAGGCACTACCGATGCGTATCTAATTTTCGGAAAGAGGATCCATCCTCGACTCGGTTTCACGTTTATTTTGATAGGAGCTATGCACGTAGTAACACATGTTTTTCATACAATGACTAAGATGAAATGGACAAACAAAGTAAATAGAGTTCGGAGGATCTATTCAAAGAAGTTTGTTGCATTGAGATTGAGGAATTGAATAGAAAAGTGGCTGAAGAATTTTTATAGTGCTATGACTCGGTTCATTGTGCTACAGATTGTTGCTATTTTCCGATGTGCAGTACAATTTTTTTTTTTTTTTGGAGGTGATTATTGTAGCCATAAAATGTAGCTATTTTATGTCTAGAATTGTTTTGTGTGGTTGAGTTTATAAAATGAAAGCTTGAAGTTCATTGTATGCTTATATGTTTATAGTCTGTGTAAATCTGATTTTGCTCACAAGTATAATGATTTGCAGGATTTTGATATAATTCTTTTGGGTGAACCACCAAACTGCCTTAATCTTTATAAACCAGAAGATGTACCAATGGTTATCATTGCCTTTTCCTAATCAACTATGTGCAAGAAATTGTGGAAACTGATAAAGGTGTTTGTAGAACATACGAAGAAAAATACTCGGATTATATTATTGCAAAGGCTGAATGGATTGAAGCTCAGTGAAAAGTAACATAAAAGAGACTGGGAAGCAGATTGAGCATAAGATTTAGACAAATGAAAATCCCTGGATGAACCAGATGAAAGATAACTCTTCAGAGTACATACAAATCCTATCTCCAGTGCCGGAAGACATAAATGTTCATAAATAATAGATGTGTGTTTAATCATTTGTTCTAAAAACTCGGCTTTTGAGTTTGTGATTACTTAGCAATTAGTTGATTATTTATTGTCTATTTTAAATAAGATTTTGCAATTTTTTTTTTTTTAAAAAAATTGGCAATAGACAAACAACAACAACTAAATGAAATGAAAGATTGAAGTAGATGTTACTGTCCGGAAAATATGAGACCATAATCATTCTCTATCACAGGCAAGCAAGATTAAAGAAATATCAATTCAAAAAACTGAAAATTATTAGATATATATAATTGCAAGTGGAGGTACAACGCCACGGGTAAATGCAAATTCATTACAAATATTTGTAAATAAGTGAGTGCCCATCTCGATTCTTCAAATTTTCAAGCAGCAACACGATCAACAACTAAAAAATGCACTGAAATACCACAATCGTCTACAAAATATGTTATACTTAAAGTGGCAGCAAAGACAACAACCCAAAAACACGGTTCATAAACAAAATTCGAAAGGTGAGTCCAACAGACCAATCCAAGATGTATTAATCTGTTGTTGTTAACTACCATCTCAAAATAGAAAAGAAGACAAAAGAATGACAACTAATGTACAAATAGCATCCCATAAAAGTATTTATTAACTACACTAAACATTATTTAAACCAAAGAAAATTCCACTAAATTTACCAGGTTAGACTATTTATTTGTTTCAACAAATTGACATTACTTAATATTCTCATACGAGAGTTAAATTAGTAATTCCCAATAAAATTATAGATGATGCAATCTCCCAAAGCACAAATAGCATTTCATAAAATTATTGTTAAACTAAACATCATTCAACATCATAAATAACACGCTGTCAATTTGAACTTGTTGGCTCTCACTTTGTCATGTTTCTAGATATTTATCATTTGTTATCATTCTTTGCAAAAACCTGAACGGACGGAATAAAATAAATCGCTAATCACATGGAAGACTTCGTAAAGGATTCTTAGAACTTACATACCTTTTGATGACACTATTAATACCCTCACTACATTGTGTCGTAGTAATATCAGCACAGAAAAATTGACGTCCATAAACCAAAGCCCATTTCTCTTTTACTCTAAACAACTTCTTCAACCATTCATTCTCTAATATATCATACTTTTCACCAACATTTTATTCCATTCGTGTAGAAATTCATCATCTTCTTCACAGTCATAAATGCACCTCCCAAAATCATGTGCAAAATCATTATATTTTTCAAATATCCCACCTAAATGTATTGCAACAGTTTGATATATATGCCAAATACATAACTTGTGACAAGTCTCGGGCCATCTTGTAGTCAATGCATTCGCCATTGCATGATCTTGATATGTAAGAATTGTGGTAGGTTTTTTTTCACCCATGGTGCGTACAAACATATCAAAAAGCCATTCAAATGAAGGAATTGTTTCATGTATAAAAGTGAAGCACCAAAAATTATTGTTTGTCTATGGTGATTGACACCAACAAATAATGCAAAAGGCCGACTTTCTCTATTCTTTCTGTATATTGTGTCGAAACTCACAACATCTCCAAAATAAGCATAGTTTGTTTTCATTCTACTGTCTGCCCAAAATATATTAGTTATCATGTCATCCTCGTCCACTTGAATGGAATATGAAGAATTTGGATCTTTACTTTGCATCCCTTGCAAAGACTCAAGCACTCCACCGGTATCTCCAACTTTTATATCTTTTGTTCTTTTCGTACGCAAATTCTTATGATCTTGTCTCGTAAATCCTAAGTTGTCACGGCCGCCAATTTCTTTAACCATGAGATCATGTGAGGCTTTTGGGGTAAGTCCCACACATTCTGCCATCTCAATTTGCGCCGCATGAGCATCAGTAATCCTCCTATGTGACCAAAACATATGGCTTTTCCGGGGACTTGTAAGATGATGAGTATGTTCTGAAATGAACTCGACAACTTCATATTTTGAATTCTCTCTCACACAAATTTGTATTCTAGCCATGCAATCAAATCTTGTTATTGGTCGTGGAGCTTTCACATTTTCCCTTCTCTTATCCTCCTCCCGTTTCTCTTCAGCACTACAAGCAAATATTCTGGATGTTATATTACCTTTTTTTTTTTTTTTTTTTTTTTTTTTTTTTTTTTTTTCTCTTTATGCATCTTGTGCATTTTGATTCCAAAACCTAGCAAATATTCTGGATGTTATATTACCCTTTTTTTTTTTTATTTATTTATGCATCTTGTGCATTTTGATTCCAAAACCTATTTCTTTAGCATAACCTAAATAATACTAATAGGCTTCTTCCTCTTTATCAAATACCATTCTAATTTTAGGATTTCTCATTGTCGTTGTTCTATCTACATCAACACATTCAAACTTATTTTCTGTATTTTTGAAATCTAATCCATGAGATGATGAAGATATAGTCATCTCAAATTCATCAATTTTTATACCTGTTAAGCGAATCACAATTTATTTATTCAATCGTAGACAAAATCTCATGTTGTGAACTAACAATCTAAACAAAAAACCACAACTACAACAAAAAAACCACAACTACAACCAAAAAACCACAACTACAACTATAAATAATTTTGAAATAGCTACTTCAAATGTTGAGATTAGCCCAAAAATAACAACCTATACCTAGAAAATGGGACGATGCCAACGGGGACTCAATTCGGAGGGAAGTGTGAAGAAATGAAAGGCGGCCGATCATGAGGGTGGCTGCTCGGCAAGAAGGGGCTGTTTGGCGATTTTGGCGGGCGACTGTTCGGTGAGAAGAAATGCGCTATTTGACGACTTCTGCGGGCAGGGAAATCCGACGAAGGCTGGAGTGGGAAAAAATGAGAATAATTGGAAGAAATAGGTAAAAGGACAGCGCAAATCATTAAACTCTGAGAAGAAGAAAAAAATTTAAGACCCAAAATAGAGGACCAATGTGCAATGAAATACTAAAACTTTTTATTTAATTTACTTATTTTTAATAAAATAATAAAATAAAATAAATAGAACACACCTCGCCTCCTTATTGGAGAGACACGTGGGACAGCAGAGCCGATGCCGCCGTTTGCACAGTATTTTCGTCCAAACCGAATTTGCTCCCCCTAGCAGAGTCAACTGCTGCAGATTGCAGCAAAAGTTGCTCCATCATTTTTTTATATATAATTTTTTTAAAATATAATATTTATTTAATATTTATAATAATTATAAGATAAAAAATATATAACATATATATATCATTTTGTAGACAATAAATATTTCTATAATATAAATAAAAAAATTAAATATATATACGTAGGGTATAATATAAATTTTATCAATTAAATTTAATACATATTTATATTATTTTATTCATTATCCATCGAATCAATACAAATCAAAACTCTTTTAATCTCAACCAAACCTAAACATAATAAAAACATCAAAATTCAAAACAAATCCCTTTAAAGAAAAGGCTCTTGATAAATTTATTTATAAATATATTATTATTATTATAATAAAATAAACACACAATTTTAATTTTTACCCAAATCAACATTTACACACCCAACCGTCCAGCCGCGCACCAGGTTGACAGGTTCTCCTCTTTTTTCTTCTTCCCCTCCTCCTCCTCCTTCTTTTCTCCTTTCTTCTTCTTCTTCTATCTGCTCTGCTGACCGCCTGCGCCGTGATTTAAGAAAAACAAACAAACGGTCGGTTCAAATCGTTTGAACCATAACCGCCGGTTCGAAAACCGACGAACCGGCGGTTCGAACCGACAGTTCGAATCGGAATGGGCCAGTCTACACCCAGTAACAGCCAGGTAGCAGGTAGCGATCAAGTTTCTCTTCGATGTTGACTTGATTTCGATTTACAGCATTTCAGCATATCTCAACTTCTCAGTTCAAGTTTCCTACAAAATATTAGGTGAGTGAGGGCTTAAATTTAAACACATTATTCTGAAACACACCATTTGAGTTGACTAGTTTATTTTCATTGTCATATCTTTTTAACCGGCAATATTTTCCAGTGCTCTGCCTATCTTCATTTGAGGTTTTGAATTAATTTTATTGTGTTATAGTTGGAGTAGTAGGTTGCTCATTGTCGTTTATTAATTGATGTCATTTTAGAAGTATTCACTCACAAACAGCAGCTATATAGTTGGTATTTATAGGGCAAAGAAATATTGATAGGTTCTTTTTTCGTGGAAAAATGGGGAAAATGATTTCTGGGTGTTTGCTTGTTTTAATTGGAAATATTTCTGTTCAACCAGCTCATATTATTTCTAAAAGGTAACTAGGGATTGTATTGCTTTTCATGTCGCTTATGTTTCTTCCTGAAGTGTTCTTATGGGGTGAAGTCAACCTTAGATTCTATTCTATCTTAAAATCTTGTTTTGCTTAGTTCTGTATCCATGTTCCTTCGGGCATCTTTGATTGGGAGAATTTGAGCTAAATGAATTTTAAATCATATCCTCAGAATCATTGTTGGTTTTGGTTAAGGATGGATTTATATTGGTTGGGGATTGAAGTCCAGTTCATAATATTTCCAATCATATTCACACCCATGTTATTCTTATTTTTATGCTTTTTTTTGTTGGTGCTGATATGTTTGCAAAGTTCATTTTGGTGCTGATAAGATGCATACAATGGAAGTAAATTTCTATTTATTTCAAATTCAATGCAATACAAAGCCGTTTATTTCAAATCCATATCTTTGGATCCAACAAGGCCTAAAACTAATTTAAATGGGTGAAATCATACCTAGCGAGCTGTTTGTTCATTCTCAATCCCAATTCTGTACAACTTGAAATGAAGAAGGGCCTAAGGTAGAATAGATAAACCTCATAAACTACCTAAATGCCACGGTGAGTGAGGAAGCAATTTAAAATAGCAAAGTCCCAATTCCTACACCATTGCATCGTTGTTGACATTGTCTTCCAAGTTTGAAGCATTAATAATTACATTTGTGTTCTTTCTCCATCTTGGACCAACATTATGATCCCTACCCAAGTACACCCAGATGATTTCTTCACCATCCTTACATCATCGTTTTCTTCTACATTTACGATCATTCTATTTTCTGAGGAAGGTTTGGGGCTTCAATTGTATTTTCATTGCAAAGGATGTCTTCTTTTAAATATATTAGTTGAGCTTGAAAAGCTTTGGCAGAACAGTAATATGGGATGAAGTTGGATTTCATGCTTCGGAAGTTTGTAAAATTGGAATTTTTTTTAAGCACCGTCATTAAATATGATTTGAGGTTAGTAAATATTAAATTTTTGCTAGACGAGGAAGAAAGGAACGAGTGAATCCATATAAATTGACCATATATATTGTCGGATGCAGAATGACCGTGTCATGAAAACGTAGTCATTAATTATTTATTCGCAAACGGGAGTCCTTAACATGCCTCCTCAGGTGCAAGTGGAGTCTGCGAAACTTGCACATGCATATGCCGCAAGTGGGGTCTGCGAAACTTGCACATGCATATGCCGCATATGTCGGATGCAGAATGGTCGTTTCACCTAAAAGCTCGAACTGTTAGGGAAACGTAGCTATTAATTATTATTCGCAAACATGAGTCCCCAATATATATATATATATGTGGCACACCTACTTCAAGTATACATAAGAGTTAATCTAGGTTAGGGACACTGTCATGTTTTCTGTTTGATGTCAGCTTTGACCGGTGGAAGGGATCATTGATTTTCCTTTGTAGGATTAATTCAGGCTTTGGCTTGGTAGCAAGATATGATAGAAATAAAGTAAGTAGATAAGATTAATAAATGATATCAATCGTATACCCAATCAAACGGAATCAAGCATTTGCCCAAAAGCCCCAAGACTATTTTATTTGCAAGATTCAGAATTCTGCTTCAAAACCCTAGCTACTCCTTAAATACCACCGTCTAAACCCTACTTACTAAAACTAGAATTAGTCCATCTAACCGATTTACCTGAATCAAGACAACAGATCCATGCAGATAGCACATGATTCTATATAGTATATTACATGATCAGCTATATAAAAGCATGTGTTGTGCAATTTATATCTTGTATTGTGTTGTATATATATATTTTTTGTACTGAAATCAATAATATATTGCGCTAACTATTTTATCATGTGTTGTTGTGTTTGTGTTGCTTAGTTTATTTATATGTGCTGACATGGAATCCGAAGTGAATAAATAAAATAAACCCAACACAATAATTAAAGTCCACAATTAAAAGCTGAACCAAATAAATATTAGAAGGTTGATAAATAAAATCCCAAGCTTGCAAATGCAAGCATAAGCTCGTCCCCACCTTCAGTACACCAATAGGGGCTTTGTCCCTTCTTTGTTCCTGAGCTCTTGTTCATTCTCCCTATCAACTCCATCCTCCTTTTAGAAAACCTTCTACTCTAGGTTGAAGTCCGGAAATTGACTATGGACACTAGCTTTACTTATCCAAGTCACATCATCAATGATTGCCCTACCTATTTAACCTCTTCATGCACTCCTTTCTCCTTTCTTCTCGGGCTCAAACACCAGTCCCACCAGTAACTCCAAACTCTTTGTTAACTCTGCATCCACTTGGTGGTCGCCCATAACTCGGCAGATCGTAGGATCCCTTTTTAACTTCACTCGTAAACCATGTAATACCCTGTAAAATAATTGTCAGAAGTTCGCTGGAACTTGTTAGAGTCCCGGCCGAAGTCGGACAATTTTATTTTTGACTTAATTTATTTTTGGCTTATGTGATATGTTTAGGAGTTGAAGAGATTTAATTTAAGTGTTGTAGTAAATATATTTGTATTTTGGCCTATTTTGGGCCCAAAAAAATTAAAAGGGCCCAAGTCTATTGTGTTAATTATAGAGAATAGAGAGAGGGCAGAGAACAGACAGAAGTGTGTTTCTCCTTCAGCTCCAGTTCTAGCCGGTCGCCCAACAATTCTCTTTTTTCTCCGTGGAATTTTTCTTCTCCATTTGGTTTCTTCTTTTAAATTAAGTAGGATTAATCTTAGATAAATGATCTGTTATAATTTCTAGACACATTTGTTGATTTCTTGTGATATTTTTAAAATTATTTTAAATGGGTTTGTTCTAAATGTGTTAGATTTTGCTAATATTTTTTAGAAAATTGATTATATTGTTTTTTAGGATTTATGTGAAGATTATTATGGTATTTTACGTTGAAAATTGTAAAATTTGTGAATGGGTTTGAAAACCTAACTTTTGCCCTAACCTAGTTTATTAATTTTGGAAAAATGATGTGCGACTATTTTAAATATTATGATTTTTGGATCTAGATTGTGCCTATTTGGATGGATATATTGTCCAAGTGGTTATTTGACAAAAATAAAGTGAGATTGTACTGAACTTGTTGGATTTTTAATACTCTATTTCTTGCTTGGTTATTAAATGAAAATGTTGTTGGACAAAAAGAATGTTTTATGAGCAAAATTTGAAAGCTCTTGTTTAAGTTTCACTTATGTTGCAAAACATGGTTATTTGGCTGATGCTTTTATTGATTGGTTGGTTAAATTTTGGCAAATGGGATGTTTTGGGTTGAAAACTCTTTTTAAGATTTGCCTACTAGCATGTTGAGTATTGGGTCAAGATTGTTTGGGATGATAAGCCGTAGCCTTTCACCTTTGTACCTTGCAAACACGTGAGGGCATACCGGTATTTTAGGATAACTAGCTAACCTCGAACTAAAACGCGAATGGGCTAGGTCGTGCGATCGAAATGGCGAGTTCCCTTTTAGGTGATTCCGAGGTGCCCGTCATTCACGATGAAATGGTCTTTAGACCGTCATTCGTGATGGAGAGGTGGACCCTCTTGGTATGTTATATTGGAGACTAGCAGGTTTGGCCGTTTGGTGTCCCTTGCAAACTAATAAATTTGTTGACTTATGTGTACTTTGGTTTCGAATCCTTATGTACCTATTGTGGAGCTTTTCTTGAGGGTTGTGACCCTATATTTGTTATATGTAGTTATGTGACATGTCAAGCGAAGTAATAAGGTTGGAAAACTGGGTCAAGCCGGCCCTAATTAAAGTCTAGTGGAGTTTTCTTCGTGATATATTCATCGCAATTACTTGAGAATGAAAGAGAAAGATAAGGAAAACACTAAAAGACTTGTGTGTGGGAGTGTCCTTATGTGATATGTGACATTTCATCCAAATTATCTTCTTCAAATGAATTTGTGGTATTTACTCGTGAATAATGGCATATTTCGAATTAATTTATCCTTGGATTAATTGTGCTTACTCAACCGTCGTATTGACCCCATTTTTACAAACTTTTTGTAGGTGATGGTGCTTTCTCTAAGCTTAATTGATGCATCCACATCGCATGATCCATCGGGGGAAATTAGGATTATCTCATCTCTTAGGATGCTTTTGAAATACTAATGTTTTTAAGAATTAAAGCGTTTTGAACAACTTTTTGGTTTAAGCTTTCGACTCGAACTTTATTTCGTTATATGATAAGTCGTTGCGCTTTACCTTATAAGTTTTAAATTTCTAATTACTAGCTTATGTTGGGTATTTTTAGTCTTAGCGTTACAACGTGAGGTTCGTTGGTTAATGAACAAGTCTTCCGGTGTAGCGTGACGGTGATGCTTGAGCTGACCGGGCTGTTACAGTGATATCAGAGTCTAGGTTAAAGGCTCATGCTTCTTGGTTAATCAAACTTGAAAGATTTCGAAATTTCTAAAATCAATTAAATTGCGGGTTTAGTTGGATTTGAACGCATTCATGGCATGTATTGCATTTTATGTTTATTTTTTGTGCTTATGTGTGTTAGTTATGCTAGATGATTAGTTAGAGTTGGTTGAATCTTCTAGTTTTGATTAGGATATGCCCCCTAGGCGTGCTTGTCAGCCTTCTATGGCACCTAAGTCTGAAGAAGTTGAGAGTAGGCAATCCCAAAACTCTGAG